GTGCATTTCTTCTTTTTCTTCCTGAGTGGAGGCTTACGTTGCTGGTCTGCGCCAAAAGATGACCTGTGCACAGCTAACTTCTGTGTAAGGAGAATTCAACGTCAACAACGCACTTAACACTCGCCTACTGGCGTTACATACTTCATATGTAATACATGACGCTTCGCAGTTGTCTACCTCTTTTTTTTCGGCCTCTGTAAGCTATAAAGCATTCGAAGGCGATTTCTACGATAAAATGACCGCCCGTTTGAAATGGAATCAAAGGTGGTGGAAGCTGCAGTGGCGAGGAAGATTTGAGGATAGTTTTGAGGATAGTTTTCCTCGGACTAGCTAGCGGCCAAGATAAGCTCGCCCGCTCTTCTCAATTCCGTTAGTCAGCGTACCAACTAATACCATCCTTTGATTGATAACGCATTTTCTGAAAGAGCAACCGATGGCGACAATAACAGCATTATCCAACCTGGTATTGTTATACTGTTATAATTCGGCCGCGTGAACGTGGAGACCGCAGGCACCGCCGCGACCCTGTTAGGAAGTAACGGGAGCCCTCACTTCGTGAATTGCCCACCATGCTTCTTTATGAGTATATGTGCAGTATATGTATGTGTTAAAGAGTGCTGAAGAGTACTGATCTTGTTAAATAAGTCCGCTATCATGTCTTCTGAATATGCGTCTTACTCGACAACCTTATATTTTTCGAATGTAGAAAAATTTCAGAAGTGGGTCTACACCGTCTGCAAAGATGGTGATCAAGTCCAGCGAGAGTTTATCGATTTGTGGAGACGATTCGCTAACAGATACAAGAGTATTTGTCATTTCGGGTTCACATTCATTACCAGGTATGATGCAGTGTAATCAATCCGAACCTTTTGTTCTGGGCAGTGGCTGGATGGAACTCAGGAAAAGAGACCTTTGGCTACTCCTCGCCTTTGTTAGAGCTAGATTTTCACAGTTTTGTCTTCCCTCACCTTCACAGAGGGAACAGATGAGAGAGCATAGTGCCGAACGAGAATGCAAACACCCATTTTTCATACAGCATGGAAGAAAAGCGAGCCCTACCATCAGTCGTCGACATCGATATCTCTACAACTTTGTAACCTCCTTCTGGCGCATCCTTGAGCTGCGAGAATATCGCAAACCTTTGTGAAGAACTTTACTCTAACATGAAAAGGATTATCTAGATTTAGACTCAGTTCCTCCCGTGCTTTTGAGCACATCGGGCAACGAGTTCTTTCCGTTGCAGACGATTTTGTGCAAGTTTTCCTCCCTCAGCCCCAGAAACCTCCATGGTCTCTCTCGAATGGTCATCTCCACGTAGTTCTGGGACGATTCCCTTGCTCCTTGACTCCTGAAGGAGCCCAGATGTTAATGGTTAAATGGTCCTTTCAAACGCGCTTCTGTCATCACCCAATTGAGCACTGAAATCACAGAGTACTATTTTGAAGTCTCTACTTGGTGAGCCATTGATAGTTGCTCAGATTTCCGTCGTCCGCAGCTTTTTGTGCACGTTTGCCTGTATGGCTGTAATTCGAGGATTTCTGGTCCTGAAACAGCGTGCTTTATCCTTTCATTGACCGGTTTTCAGCACTGGTCGTTTTCTTCTTCGAAACGAATCCAACTTCTCCTTCGTGCATCTCTTCATGGCTAGAAAAAGGGATTGTTTGCTGTCACTTTTCATTCTACCATTGCTTATCCAACTGACTTCACTTATTCACAGTACAATAAGGTCGATTTCTGTCGGATTCACGAGAAATTAGTTGTGCAAGGTTACCAGTTCTGCTCAGCGTCCGTACGTTCACTAATACCAATGTGTTTTATTTTTGGGTGAGAAAACCGAACTCAGAATCGGAGCATCCCTCACAACGCTGGAGCCCAATAATCTCAACTCAGTAATATCATATATAATATATTCGTCTACTTTGTATTACAGCAGCAAGGATTTTTACGGTGAACGGGTTGCTAGCCTTTCGCGCGCAGTACACTCCTGCACTTTCTCAATTTGCGAGTTTTGGAGGACCGGCGCGGCAGCTCACCGGTCAACACGCAGAAGGAAATGGATTCACTACTTCTTCCCCGTTTTTCATTTTGTGCTCCTTCTATTGGGCATACATTTGCATAACCGTAAACGACATAGTTCAAAGAATGGCTGAATATCCTTTAGTTCGGCAGAGGTTTTAAGCCCTATTAAAATATCGGCTCAGTCCGTTCCTCGTTTTCTTCGTATTCCCATGAACATGTGAAATAAAAAAATGTTGGGTAGCGCAAATTGAAACCTACATGGATAAGCGAATATAATGTTTTTAGGCACACTCCACCCTATAGTGTCTGGGCGTACGCTCGGCCTCCCGCACTTCTTTAGAATCTTGAAGACGTGGGATGCCATTATAATCCAGCGAAACACGTCAAGTTGTTCAAACTGTTGCTTTAGCTCTTGATAAGTTCAACATGCTGATCATCATTGCAAAAAATTCGTCGCATCCGTGTTCTGTATATTTAGCTCTGGGAATCCGAGGATATGAGGAGTGGTCGCGCTCGCAAAACGCCAGCTCTACGCGGCCAAATGAGCCAAAACGCGTGATATCATTAGCGCGGTAATCGCCGATTGTGCCACTTATTTATTTCAAGAGCGCTACTTTGCGTGAGGTGGCAAGTCCAAACTCATAAAGTGGTAATGCATTGCCAGTGGTCCCAAGTGCGCGATCAGAGAGTTCTGCTTTCGTTTGACTCGCATTCGCTAACCGCTTGCCCTTTATGTTTACTAGGTTATCCGGCACCTGCGTGCATTGGCGCTCTCTCGTGTTTTCCCTCTTCTAGCAGTGTTACTGGCACATTGCCTCTACGTCATACTACCGTGTTTCTCACAAGGAAAATTTCTGTGATTTCTGCTGTGATGTTTGCTTTGCTTTTCTCTCCACTGACGTTCCTCACTTTTGTCTGGTTTTCAAACACGCAATCGACATTCGTGCATTTCAAGTGTTTTCTTCTGTCACCTCCCATCCTTCACCACCTCGCCCGCATTGATTTTTAGTTTGACACATGAAGCAGGACTCACATTAGAGACAATGGATGAATATATCAGATCCAGTCTTGAAAATCTACAGATTTCAGGTAAGCGATGAGTGTGAAGAACTTTCGAATTTCCATTTGATAAGAAGCGAATGACATTCGTAGCTCTTCTTCGACTGAAAACTTCAAAACAGGTTTTAAGTTCCAAACGTTCCGCCGTCAACTTACACAGCAGTGAGCAATCGAGTGACTGCTATCGTCTGGCGCCATCGCTTGGCATTAAGACGAGTTCGCGAAATTTGACAGTCCCTTGTCCGTGTACCTCGACACTTTTTGTTTATTTTCTCACAATCAACAAAACCTTTTCTATAGTTTCACCACTGGTGATTGATGCACAGTTTTTCGGTTGAGATAATGCATGCACATTGTAGAGAAATATGAAAAATGCCATACAAATCGAAATGCTAACAGGTATCGGGTGAAATTGCCACGCGCAACCGCGTTTCACTGTCGTCCATGTGCTAACAAAGTTGTGAACTAGGATCCATTTTGTTATGTGGGCAATATATTTGAGGCTGTCGATGTCAGTAAACATGGTTTCTGTGTGCGACCGTACTCGATTCCCCTTTGAATTGCCCACACAAATATATGGATTCCCTTATAAGATTTGTGTATGTTTAAGGGTGCTTTATACTCACAGACCATCTTGGTGGCAATACAGTACTCGCCGTTTGAAATCGAAAATTCACGCGAATAACGCGAATCCTCGTTAATTTCGTGAATTCGTTATAACTCGGTTCAAAATTGAGCTTTCCAGAATCTGAAAATATCTTGAACTCAGCTCGTTGGGCTCTATAAGAATATGCTTTAAATCCCGAAAGAGCTTCGTATAGGAATACGTCATGCACTCGTGTTTTATCTCGAGAGGTATGATTGGGTGTGATGCGTACATATCACAAGTGAAGCCTGATCGTTCTGTAGAAAGACGGGCTTCAAGACTGCCCTAGAATGCGCCGCGTACTCGACTTGGTCTACAACATTGCGAGGTTTGAATATTTTTCAAGTTAACTGGATTTCTATTTCATTCAGCGCTGAGATATGAGAAATGCAGTCTCTGAGCCCAAATTCCCTTCCCTCCCTTCACATGCTAATCTCTAATCAGATTTTAGCGGCCTAGTAGGCTTATTTTGTAACACTTCCAATATTCCAAGCGATTTTCGGAAGAAACCTGAGAAGGAGGCGAAGAAATTCCTTCACTGTTGTAGGCTATACAAAATTGTATAGGAATAAGACGGCGTGCTTTGTCGGAGGTGAGCGTTTCTTCCGTGGTGTGGCCCCGAACACCACTCTGCCTCGTGAAAAGATCTGATTTTCGCTTTTCCATGCGAGCCTCCAGAAATGAGAAGCAGGTTGATTCTCCATAAAAATCACTGTCGAACGATATGCAACACTGCCTGCATTCGAAACTTGTTTTTCACCGTTTTCGGCCTTTTCCTTATCGCCGATCGCCTTCCTCAGCCCTGGCCACCACGTGCTATTCACGTGCGCGGTGCGTGAGAGCTCACGTGACAGCCGATGGCCTTCCGTCGTAGTTGGCGGTAAACCAATCGGTACCCGATTATGGCCGTTCAAAGAGTGTGGAAACGGCCTCATGCACAGATCTTTTCACGAGGGCATGACGAGGAGTGATGTTTGAGGCCAACGCTCACGGAAGAAATGCTCACATCCGACAAAGCACGTGGCCTTATTGCTCTAAACGATTAAGCATAGCCTACGATAGTGAAGGAAATTGTTTGCTTGCTTCTCAGGCTTCTTTAGACGGAATATTGGGAAATGTCACAAAATAGGCCTGCTAGTCCCGCTAAAATCTGATTTGAAATTAGAATGTGACGTGAGGGAAGGGAGTTTTCGGCTGAGAGACTATACGTCTTACCACGCAGAGCTTTGAAATGAAACAGAAATCCCGGGAGCTTGAAAAATTCCACTACTGGTAATTGACTGATAGTTTTAGGATAAGATGAAACATGCACACAGTTTTGAAATATGAAAAAGGCCAAATAAACCAAAAAAAACTAGCCAGAATCGGGTGAAATTCTGACGCGCATGCGCGTCATGCTGTCGTCAACGTGTTAAATAAGGTTGTTAAAGTATGAAACTATGGAATTATGTACAGAAGATAACGGCGAGTTCGATAGTCAGGTCAAAAGCCGTGCTCATAATTTAGTAGATGCGTTTGTTGTTGTTCAGTCTTATTACCATATTTATGTCCGACCCGAAGATTAAATAAATCCTAAAAAGTGATGAATAATGTTTGAGTTTAGCTTTAAGGCGCTCTGGACAACTCCATTAGCATTATTATGGGTGATCACGGTAACCGTATTGGACTGGTGAGATATTCGTATACTGGAACTATAGAAGAACGAATGCCGCTGATGGCTATTCGACTGCCGACAAATTTCAAAGTGGAATACCCAGACGAATACGCTAATTTCTTGGAAAATAAATGGAAACTCACGAAGGTACCAGTAGTTTTGAGGCAGCACTCATATTCTTTGGAGGATCAGGAGATTATGAGATAATGAAATTAAGCAATGATTGCGAGTATAGTACAGTAGAAGTTGAGGAGATTGGAAGAATTTGCTGAAAACATTATCGCTGAGCGACTTGGAGATTAAGAGGTTAGGGAGATAAGGGAAGATCTAGTAGAAGATTTGACACGCAATGAGTGGGAGCATGTGAGATTTGGTAACCCCACTCGCATCATTTGATAAGTATTGAATTTTTCTTATATTGTACCAATGAGTTGAATATGAACGCTGCCTTGCACAGCATTCTATGTATATTAGAGGCTCCAGCAGTATGACGCGTGAGTGTAAATGGTGAAAGTGTGCAGTGTTTCAGTAACTTCGACATCCATCAAACGTTACGAGATGTGGTACTGATGAGATTTGGATCTGAAAGGACAAGCACTACGGCGTCAAATGGTCGAGGAATCAGCCTATTCGACAAAATACCTGCCACAAGGTTGTTTCATTACTAGCCTTGCCAGGAAAGGGAGAAGATTTGGAGTGGCCTGTGAAATGAGACAAATTTTAGGTTGGAAGGAAAGTTCTGCAACACTCTTTCTAAAATTTTCTTTTTTTCTGAAAAATTCATAGGTAACATTTATGACTAACAAATGGTAGAGCATTCTCGAGGCTTCAATCCACGAGGTGGATATAAGTGCTGCAGTCAGTAGTTATCCAAGAAAATTCAAAAAACCTCGACCACTAGGTAAATCCATACTCCGAGTCACTGTCTAGTACAAAT